TATATATAGATTAGATAATAGATAGGTACCAGCAACACCATGTTCAACCTTATCAGAGATTAACTGCGAGTGAGTTTGAAGGCTTTTTCACACTTTTGACATGGCGTAAAGGAAGAACGAGCAACGGGTTGCACACCACAAGTCATAATTTATTTGTAGTTATACAAACACACAACTGACACAAGATAGAGTTGATATAAGTTTCGACGCATAGGCGAAGTTAAATAGGCTGAAAATGCACTAAATTTAGAATTACCTATCTTAAATTACCATGTTATGGATAAAAGTTGCAACTTTCTATGATACGTGTATACTTTTTACGCCATTTAAATTTTCATCTCTGCATGCCACTCATAATAACTTGCCTTTCTACTTCCACGGTTCACCCTCCCAGCCTGCGTAAACCATACCAGTGAGGCAGTGATCGCCGATCACTTTTAGTGATGGATTCATGCAGTTAATAATGCAGCAGTAACATCACTAAAATTCAGCGCGTTTATCAAAAGATAGAAATTAAAAGCAATTTTAGCAGTTAAATAAATTAGGATTCGTTCATGGATATGTCCCTTGTCGCCGTCAGACGCAATGAATTTTGTGAAGAACCTTATGACTCATGACCTTGTGCGACTTCCTTAGTTCCTTCCACATAAACACGAACCAAAATACACAATAATTTGCACTATATGTCTTTGATACAGAGATCTAAAGCACTAAGCACAGCTACTGCAAGGGTAGAATAGGATAATGAAAAATAACTAGTACCTAGTGTTGCTTGTTTCTGAAACGCAGAAATTGAATTTTGATCACTTAGGTTCTGGAAAATAATGGCACTGTCGTGTTGAGCCAGAGGGTACATGCACTGCATTTTCCGTAAGCGATGCATTCCAGCAAAAAAAAGCATGCAACGGATTCGTAGAATTTCTAAATAAAAAATGAGAATAGTTTCTTATTCGGACTTAGGTAAAGGAAAACTCTGAGCGACCAGAAGCGTAGAGCTTTCGTTCAGCGGCCTCCGCACACATACACATGACTCAACGATCCAATCAGCACTGACACTAAGCTGAGTGCTGAGCCCGCTGCTGAGGAGCAAGTAGTGACTGGAGTGAATAGTAAATAATGAGTTACTATGTACGTTTCTGGCTCCGCCCTTGTGGTTCACGGTGTTTTAATATTTATCCTAATCCTACTGAATGGTTGGAACAACGACAGTGTTAGCAGAGACTGCTTTATCGTTCAACTGTGTTGTTTAGATATATGTTCGAACAAATTATTTTAATAATAACATTAGGAATTGATTAGTAGTCCCTGTACATCATACGCCGTCAATCAGTTAAACGAAATTGTATTTGCTAAACATAATGAATTTTCTTGTGTCTTTAATTTCGAAACGTCTTTAGTTTCCATTTTAATTCCTTTTCAAATTTCCTTAGCTTCAACGAAAATAATATCATTTTGAACTGCACTTTTGAGACCGAGCACGGAACGAATAACATATGCCAATGAATTTTTAAGTTACAAGTAGTCTTGGACTCATGGTTGTTGACGTAGCTACTGTAGCATGCATTGCTTTGTACTAAATTGTAACACGTGGCTGAGATTTATTGCAAATTAATCAAAACAGAAACTTACTATCATCACTTACTGAATCTGAAGCCAACTTAAATAAATAATAATTACATTCTATATAGCAAATTATATATTGGCTACAAATTAATTACATAATATATTAACAACGTTAAGACATTAAAATATAGCCATGTCGATCTAAATTCTGATAGGAGGGAACTCCTTAGTGACATGTTTCAAAAAAGAAACTCGTGAAACAACTATTTTTGTATTGTTAGATGTTTAAAAGAGAAGTAAACTTAATGAACGAAGCACATCTGACTGGCGGCAAGCAAAGGAAAATAGCAAGACGGTATCGGTATTTCCGTGAATGACTTCCGATGCCAAGAAAACTCTCATTCATATAAGTTTTAACGGACCTCCTCAGCGAATAAGAAAGGGATGCCCCACGTGGCTGCTTTCTCTGCCAAACCATTTTTTAGGAACCGATCTTGTATGCGGTCGAGGTGGGCGAGGCTTCCAATTTCTTCTCTCTATGGTAAGAGAGATGAGAATTGAGAACATTTTACGGGATTTTTAAAGTTTATTATTTATATTTAGGTAAGGATTACATCATATGATTACATACTTCGTAAGTTACTTCAGAATTTAATAGCAATGGTATTACAAAAAACAATTCATGTTATTTTTATTGAGAAGGATTGTTGAGAAAATAGTGAATTTTTTTCTATGCCTTTTCTTTGCACCCACATTCATAGGTCTCGATATATTCATTAGAAACAGGAAAAAATTAATTAAATTACATTTCAAACAGTTTTTCAGAACATTTGCACCTTTTTCATCTATATCAAATTCACTTGATTGTAATCGAGAAAGGAAACGTTCAAAATGAATTATTGAATTAACTTCGAAATGAATGACAAAATTTTAAAAATAAATAATGTACTCACTCACAATAAAATGCTTAAAAAAACTTTAAAAAACACGTTTTTCTTTTGGACTAAAAAATAGAAAATAAATTATGGCTCGCCCCAAAAAACGTGTGTCGGGCAGATTTATGATTAAAGCGAAAAGCACACAACACACGAATTTTGTAAATTTGATGGTGAACGTACAGCCCGACCCACGTTTTTTGGGGCGAGCCATAATTTATTTTCTACTTTTTAGCCCACAAGAAAAACGTGTTTTATTTTTATTTTTTTAAATATTTTATTTTCTCCTTTTTAGTCCGTTGCTACACATGAAAAACGTTGTTGCGAGCCAATTTACTTGACTTGACGTACGTATCGATGATACGCAGCGTCAGCGCCTGCTCGTCTATAACGTCAGCGCCCGCACCCGCACGTCATACTATATATATACTATATATATATATTTTACTCAATTAAGTTAATTTAGGTCTCTAATTGCTAGTTTTTATGATTGTATCTGAAATTGTTAGGCGAAAATAGCCTGCATGCCGAATTTCAGACCTCTAGAGCAATCAGAAGTGGGCTAATTTTCGTTGTCAATGTTAACAACAAACAAATCCACAAACAAACAAACGCGAAGCTAAGTTAAGAAAAACGTGTTAATAAAAAAATAACAATGTTAAACCCAGGAACCGATAATTAGAAATTATTGGTAAAAAACCTGCCGACGTTTCAGAAATACCATAAAGACTTGAAGATAATTTCGAAATGAATGAGTGCATTACTCAATCGACAATTCTACGGACCCGCCTACGGACTCACGCAACTGGGCCACTTTTACATGACTTATTATTAGGTTAGGTTAGGTTAGGTTGGGATAGGTTAGGTTGGGGTAGGTTAGGTTGGGATAGGTTAGGTTGGGTTAGGTTAGGTTAGGTTAGGTTAGGAAATAATTCATGCAAAAATCTGTAATAATTCCTGCGGCAGCGTCTCGATAATTAATACTCACATTCCAAAATTCACACAGATCCGTTAAGTATTGAAGGAATTATGAGCGGCCCAGTTGCTTAAAAAATACGTTTATTGGTTTTAATTAAAAAACAATTTATGTAAAAATCTGTAATAATTCCTGCGGCAGCGTATCGATTATTAATACTCATATGCCAAAATTCATCTAGATCCGTTAAGTATTTAAGAAATTATGAGTGGCCCAGTTGCTTAAAAAATACGTTTATTGGTTTTAATTAAATAATAAATCATGTAAAAAATCTATAATAATTCCTGCGGCAGTGTATCGATTATTAATACTCATATTCCAAAATTCATACAGATCCGTTAAGTATTTAAGGAATTATGAGTGGCCCAGTTGCGCGAGTCCGCAGGCCAGTCCGCAGGCGGGTCCGTAGAATTGTCGATTGAGTATGAAGCATTAATATTGTGCTACCGTCAACGACCGAAAAGTAGCAACAGTAATGCAACTGCACTCTCCCGTTAAAATGATATACTTTAGTAAAAAATTCATTTATTTTAAAGCTTAAATCCGGAGTTATACGACAATTCTCGTTTTTCCACAATTTTATTCCAGTTTGTAGCGTGAATTAATTTAAATATATTTTAATCTGAATTATTTGCTAATTATTTGAGGATATCTGCGACTCAAGCGTCCTTAACATTATCAAGTTCCAGCTTTGGCACAGTATCCGAACAAAATGACAAAAAGACTCAAAATAAAATTTATGCATTTGTATATAAATGATCATGTGCAAACTTCTGTTTTACCCAGGACTATGGACCGATTTCATGAGCAAATACGACAATAAAATTACAAATTTGTTTGAAAGTTCTATTCTTAATTATTTTTAAAATAATTTAATTGAGCAAGTGTGAAAGTTTTTACCATCTTTGCCTGCTTATAAGTAACCTTTGCTTGCAGCAGTCTCTCCAAACCACCGACCCACTGACCATTTTCTCTAGATGGTGATTGAAACTGAATTAAAATTTAGGTAAGAAAATATATTCAAATAGAATTGTTCGTCAAATAGAATAGACGGAATAGTGAACCGTACAAATTTATATAGTGGACTAAAATTATGCGGCTGCTAATGAGTTAATTAATGTCAATAAATATCTCATTTTTTAATTTAGTTCCGTTCGGTTTCGATTTGACAAACTTATGCGTAGAAAACCTGCTATGGAAATTCGTCCTAAAATTTGTTCCCAGAAATTCGTCCCATAAGTGTCGATGTGGTATACCGTTCGGTCGTTACCGTCAATCAATGCAACATATATATGCACAACATTACTTCCCAATACAATAAGTTGGAGGCGTTTTTAAATTGTTTCAATTTAAGATAATCTTCCCTTCAGAAAATGGAAAACTAATTTGGAAATATTACAGTAAAGTTGTAAATCTGAATAACGTGTGCTTAAATCATTCATTCAAAATACATGTGACTGATGTGAGATTTTGTACGTCTGGAAGTATGGTTACGCGTAGTAGCGTGTTGTACGATTTGGCGGGCGAATTACGTACAGTGTAGCCTGTGGATTGAGTTTACATGCATGAGCGTGAATTACAACATCGTGAGGCAAAATATTGATATAACTATAAAAAATTAAAACGTTAAACGTGAGTGAGATATTTTAAGCAGTTTTCCGTGCATTTCATGAAATTTATATTTGCCCTGAGTTTATGAAACGACAATTTTCCGATAGTGCTGCGATGACGTTCATCTTACTTAGGGGCTAAGCCAAAATGGCGTGGCAGCCGGAGCTCGTAGTGAGCACGTGAGCGCGCATTAATGTCTAATTTTGAAGTCAGTTTTATCATGACATCTAAGCATGGTAAATTATATCTCATTTATGTAATGTTTGTTTAATATATTTGTTAAGAATTGTTTTCATTATGAATAATAATAAATTAAATAATCAACTTTTCTAGTAAAATGACTATTTTGAGTGGAAACCTACCATTACAGTCTATGCACTCTATGGTATGTATCAGTAATCAGTCAACTAAATAGATGCCTTGCTGCCCTTGCACTTTGCAGACTTGCTTATATGGCAAAAATTACCTACTTTGATGAAAATTTGTTGAGTTGAATTGCTAAGTCATACAATGATATAAAATAAATTTATATCTATCATCCATGTTAATATTTCATTTTCAATATCTATATATATATTTTTTTCAATTGTTTGTTGTTGGTTAATGACTTGAATAAAAAAAAATATCAGTGTGAATGCTTTTAAATGTTATTTCACTGCCAGGTTTGGACTCACTGGAGACTGGACTGTAAAGTGTAAAATATATCTATTATTACTATTAGAGCCACAATTAGAGTTTTTTGCCAATTTTAGAGGCTGCCAATCTGGAAAATCAGGCAGAACTTTGCTAATATTGCATCATTTGCATGTAAAAACAACCCGCAATAGGCCTCAGGAACGGTTAGAATTGGCCAGAGCCCAGAATTACTGTCATTTTTGTCCAATTCACAAATCGTGAGTGGCTTCTGCCTTATTTTTTAGTTTGGTTTAGACATCACACATCAGGGATGCAAGATCAGGATTTGAATTTTCCTAGGGTAAACACACCATATTCCAACACTTTGAGGACATAGCAACTGGCAAGAAATGAATGGTTATAAAAAGATTGCCGCATGTGCAACTTGAGTTCTGATTGCTTTATGTCACTCTCAAAACACCACACTATGCGCCAGCAATGATACGTCACTGAATTCGTCACAAAGTGTTGCCATATTTATTTAAAAGCCTTTGGAATTCAAATCTACAAAATCGCTGAATTCCGACGCTGTGTGTGACTAAATTTGGCATATTGTGAGACTAATTCTGACAGCGCTTCAAAACCGTAATTCGTAATTCCAACGCCCTGTGTTGAAATTCTGATGCCCTGTGTGAGCTGTATTGGAATACAACACAGCTCAGAACAAGCTGTGTGTGTCTAATTCCAAGCTGTGTTGGAATTAGTTTTTATGTGTCTAAAACCATCTCTTAACTTAATCATCTATTAATTTATTTACCATTTAAAATTAGTAAATACAAGTATACTTAGAGGATTCCTAATATATTCACAGATTTATTTAAAAGTCCCAAACCATAATATTCTTTCTACACAAACAGTTTATCACTATTTGGTAGAGCAAGGTCAACTATCAACTTTGACACGTGTTTAGATGTTCTCACTGGGTGACGTGGACTTTTGCTCTGAGGATCTTAACATTTTCCCGCTAGACCTAGAGTTTTGCAGAAATATTGTGCGCAATAGTAGTACATCACTATCAGGATGGGCAATTACAACAACAACAACGTCACTATTTCAACCATCTACGCATGCGTGGAACTAAGACAAAGCTTAATATAAAGGAAAAAGTTGAGAAGTGTTGGAATTATCCACGATGTTGGAATATGGTGCATTTACCCTACTTGTTTCTGAAATCTTGTGGCTCCAATGTGACAAATTTTTAATACATTTGGAATCTTGTGGCCCAATTGTGCACTTTTGTTAACAATTAGATAGGAGGTAATTCATCTGGTGGAAATCTTGCATTTCTGGAAATGCCAGCAAAGCTCTAGTCTTGGCTCTAAAGGTAGATGTTTTTCAGACTTGCATGTGATGGATTTTATTCTATTTAATTGTTGCTTCAAGTGTGTAATCAAATAGAAATCTAAGAATCAGTAAGAGTAATACACGAATGAATCTAAATGAATGTAGATATTGTGTCAAATTGAAAAGTATAAACTACATTTTCTTTTTAAATTCAGATGATATTTTGGAACTGATTGTGTAACAAAGATTAGTGTGAATTCTAATCTTGAATATTATATACCTATCAACAACCAAGAGTGGAAATTTTTTATTATTTTAGTAATCTTATTGTTTAAATTAAAAATGACACATTTTCAAAAATTTTGAAATCTTGTGGCTTGATTGTGCAATTTTTAATAAAAATAATTTATCTAGCAGGAATAGTAGCTTCAAAATGGTAGGCAATCTTTTGTCACAACTTGCAAGTAGATATATGACACACCTGTAAACCACCTATTTTAAAAACTTCACCCAGTGTATGATCAAGCCCCAAGATTTTGAAGCCTATTAAAATGCCATTTTGGGGTTACAAGATTTTAGTAATAAGTAGGAATTTTCCCCTCATGTCCCATTCATACCAACCTCTGATACTAATCATAATGGTGCAAGGTAATTTTTGCAACCATTGCTGGGCTGACTTAGGCTTTTTATTACATAACAGGGTAAAAATACAGGTACTGGTAGTTTCATTTAGGTTAAACAAATTTCCAAGTTGTACAAATGGTAAAATATAGTTTGGACTTGTTTATGACTGCAGTAATTCTTATTTTGGCTATAGTTATTTCTCGCTACTTTGCAGTTCTGATTTTTAAAATTGAGTACATTGCCAATCTGTTATGTGCACTTAATACACAGAGGCATGTCAAATTGCCTCTAACAAAGGTATTTTTGGCTAATTCCTTAATCTTCTGCCAAGTTTTTTTAAATAATTCAAATACCACTCAAATGGCTTGCAGTTAGTTCACTTGGTTGAGAGTCAAAATGAGCAATTATGTATAAAAATAGCAAGATCTCACACTATGTTGGTCTGAAAATTATTAGCAGTTATTATCATAATGCATAGCTTTTATGGAATAAAATTAGCAAAACCACAGTTATTTAGTTATTTTCAAGTTATCTAGAGGTTCAATCATAACTGACAAGTTTGCTTTCTCACATTTCTTATTTCTTGCATGTTTCAGAATGAGTGGCCGGAGACGAAGCATCTCCGAGTCAAGTAAAGACCACAGTGAGAACGGATTCAGCATCACTCCTCCCAAAGGTGTTCAACTCACTTCAAGTCATGTTGATAAATTATTCAATAATTCAACTTATGTATACCTTCCTAGATATTTATTTACAACTTTTAACCTTTTGTTGAATTCTGCATTTCTTAATTTTAATACATTTATATTGTGGGATTTTAAAAAGTTGATTCAATTCAATCCTCTCAATTTAAACTTTATTAATTTTTTGCCATCTGATTTTGCATCTACATTCTTTATTTGGTGGTGCAGCCTTAATTAAATTACATTCTGGAGCAGCTCTAATTAAATGAATAAATCAGACATCAGTTTTTTTTTGTGGCTTCAGGTTAGATTGTCTTTGCGACTCCATCTTATTTTTTTGTAGTTTAAAAATTTTAAAATGTGTTTATGGAGAAGACATGCATTATATAAGTGGTTCAGAATAAATATCTTGATAAGTGTACACATGTCCATCAAAAAATATTTTCCATCAACACAGTCAGTGGGCGGCTTTCCTGTGATTGGTTTGTAACCATAGATATGTTGCAGGTGGGCTTCTTTCTGCCAAGATGGATGGCGCAGTGCAGCGCAAGTCACGACATGTGAGTGGTCGCAACCAGTCGGAGGAGGCCACAGGGTTGCGGGACATTATGAGTGACTGGGAAATAATTGTCAAGAGTCTCAAACAGAAGAAGGATGAAGTCCCAGTATCAGTTGGCAAAGAAACTTCTATGTCTTCTAAAGATCAAAAAGATGCTCTCCTTCCATCAAGTGCTAAAAAACCTAAAGTAAATGCTGCAGTTGTATCTAAAAATGTCAGAGATAAAGCATCAACTCCACTGAGAAAGGAAAAGAGTGAGGGCTCAGTTGCCAAAGCGAAAGTGAGCAACTCTGCTTCAAAGTCCAGAGGAAAATTAACAAACAAAATGCTTGATTCAGATTCTAATTTTGATTCTTGTAGTAAAATTGCTTATGCAATAGATTCACCTTCTAGTGAAAATAACACTACATCTCCTCCCTCTAAATCACTCACTTGTCCAACTTATAAATCTTCAACTTCATCACCATCCAAATCTATAGCTTCCCCACCTTCCAAATCCTTCACATCCCCAACTTCCAAATCTGTTACTGGCTCTCCCTCTAAATGTCTCTCATCAACAATAACTCATATTTCTCCCACCTCCAAAAATAGCAAGATTCCAGCCAGTATTGGTCGAACAAGAAGTGGCTCATCAAAATGGATTCATGAATTGTCAGAAACTGCTGAAATTGACAATCTTAAAGCCAATGGAGCTCTTACTCCCTCTCCTTCCAAGTCCTTAGACAGCTCTAGAACTCCTGTGTCTGACGAAGAAAGCAATGTGGGGACTAACTTGCCTGATGGAATGGTTCTAGCTCCCTCTTCACAAACTCTCAATGGAGAGCTAGAACAAGTTTCCATGTCTGCTCCTCTACCCATTGACAACGATGAAAAAAATAGTAAAAATACTGATATTGAGCCTGTATCCATTGATGCAATTTCTATCAGAGAAGAAAAGGCATGTAATAGAACTGCTATTGATACTGAAGCAAGTCACTCTGCAACATCTGTGACTGATGATCTTCACAAAATACCTGCTGATGTGGAGGAAAATGAAGAGACTGAGAATATTGAGCACATTGAGGTGCCTATTGATTTAGAAAAAGCAGCAACTCGAAAAATATTTGAGATTTTGGATAGAGCAGAAGTAGGTGAAAACAAATCTATCGTCCTTGACCCTGTAGATTTTAGTGAACTATTTGACATGGAAGATTCTAACTGCAATTTTGAAGGTTTCACTGGTATGGAGCAAGTAAGAGGAGTCTGTAAAGTGTGTCGCGTTCGTTTGGACACTGGCTGGAGCTTGATCAAGCACTGGAATGTTGGCCACAGACGCCGCTATCAGTGCCCATTTGATGAAGGTCAGTGCGGCGTTTTACGAGGCGCATTCACTCTGCACACTCACCTGCGTGCATCCCACGGCCACATACTCATGGCCATCGAGGGTGACCTGCTCAGTGATGTCGCCAAGAACAGACTTTCTCGCTGGCCTGCTCCTGGCGATGGCACTGGGCTCAATGAGCAGTGCCTTGAAGCTTGTACATGCTGCCTGCTCGTCCTGGGTCAACCCGAGCGCAGCCTTCATGAGCTCATCATCCACGGCCTCTTGCCTCCTCCCTCCATGTTGGCTCGCACTGACACCTCGTCTTCTTACTCGGCCTCAAAGCCAAGCTATGTGACGTTAGACCAACAGTTAGGACTCTGGTGGACTGGTCAGAGTATTGCTTGGTGCTGCCTGTTGTGTAGAAACAGACCCTTCCTCTCCTGCCAACCTCATGCTCTCGCTATCACACTGTCACAACACCGACAGGCTGTCCACAATTGCAATACTCCTATGCTTTCATGTTGGGGTCTCATATTGCGCTTACTCACTTCGCTGCCTGCAAAGAGTCGGCGTACCATGGCGTGCATGCTCTCTCTTGGTCTGCACCCAAATTCTAGCTACGCATTGTGCCGCATTTGTTCCGCACCGCTCGGAATCGTCTCGAGATCGCGTCTCCACATGCCAGTTGGCCTTTGTTCTGAATGCCAAAAGATCAAAGACCTTAACAAGACTTGCTGGTACTGCCGCAAACATCACGAGAATGCCTTCGATACCATGAATCACATGATCAGCTGCCACCCTGAAAAGGCTGTGCAAGGCTGGTGTCCAAAGTGTGGCAGTTGGGCTCCAAACTTGCTTGCCCACTGCCTGAGTCACCACCAGTTGATAAATTTCTGCAAATTTTGTCATTACAAGAATCTCCGTATGAACCCGTTGACGTCCGTCCTTCACTCCATCAACAAGCACAGTTACCCTTGCCCTCTGCCCTCATGCTCTTCAGTTGTCATTGCGGAAGATGGGTCCCGAGTCACGGCTCAACCTCCACTCTCAACCATGAGAGCTCTCATCACTCACATGCTCGGACACCATTTTCCTGACTGGGCTGGCTTGGAGATCGAGCATATAAACAACCTTATTCGAAACTGCAATCAGTACAACATCATGGTTGTGACTTCAGGAACAGGACGTGTTCTTGATAGCATCTGGTATTCACTTACAGGCTACCATTTTCAGTTGCACAACCACGTTACCCAACTTGGTTTGGTTCCTGTGGTGAAAGTACACCGTCAGTGCTTGTTATGCCGGCGCACTGTGCCTTTGACTCTATTTCCTCAGGAGCTTGTAATGGTGCAACTCTGTGATCAGTGTGAGCTCGGTCTCTTCCAATGTGAAAACGGCGACCCGCCTTGGCCGTGTCCTGTCGCGGGATGTACTGCGCACGTGTCGGCCAATAAACACCTGTACCGGCACATGGTCGGCGCTCATGGACACACAATTGGTGACGTTGAGGCTCGTTGTTCAAGCTGCAATTACGACTATTTGGACATCCCAATGCGTGTACTTTGTCACAAATTTTTGCGACACAGTGTGCCTTGCTTCGACTGTAATTCTTCCTTCCAGTCTCTGGCTGACGCTCGACAGCATCGGCAGCAATCTCATGGAGTCAACTCCTGGACTGAGCTTTGGTCAAGCTTGAAGGCTCGCTACGGCGTGGCGCCTGGTTTGCGTAGCCTCGAAAATGAAGAAGTTCAAGGTGTGGTCAAAGTTTGGATGAGTTCTGGTGGTTTGATGGCTCAGTGGGACCCTCTACTTGCTGTCAAAATTGACACAGATCCATCAGCAGCTGCATCAAGCGACAAAGACAACACTGTAAGTGCCAGAGAAAGTTCCCCGATGCCTGATGACGTGTTCCATGAAAGTCAGAGTGAAACTTCCACTCCATGGTTTGGCTCCTATTGTTCAGTATCAATGTCGCCCCATAAGACCATCTCTACACCACCACCAGGCCTCGACTTGAAACCTGAAACCGTTCACATAAAAGTTCCTCCCTCAACGGAAAGTTTAGATGCTGTGCCTCCTCTCTTGGCTGCTTCTGGCCCTGCCGATTCTTCGGACGAAGACGGCAGTAGTGAGCCTGGCCTTAAGATCGATTCTACTGCTGTGTCTCCTGCCCATTCTTCTGTCAGCCACGATGCCTTGTTCTCAAGGGGTAAGAACTTCAGTAATGCTAATCTAGGCACACCTCGGTCTGGGTTATCATCACCCTCGCAATATCCTGGCATAATTGAAAGCCCCAAGACTCGTTCAGTTCCCCCACTGATGCTAAATCGAAAGAAAATGGTTGTCAATAAGAAATCAGAAAAAGCATATCAGGGCCTTGGAGCAAATGCCTTTATCGATGCAGACAGAGTGAGTGAGAATATCTTGAAGGATCTTGATGAAAAATATCGTTGTGAGTGCATTGAGTGCGGTGTAAGTGTCTTGTTGAAGCTGCTTAAGCAGCATTTGAACGAGGCTCACTCCTTATGCGACATTAAATGCCATTGCGGCTTCTCCAGTGACATCACAACAGTTCTTGTTCACTCTTTCCACATGTCACACTTGCCAAATGATGCCCGCCCTCTGACACTCGTTGCAGCGAATAGTGATGAAGCCGTTGGTGTATTGGTGTTTGAGCGTCGCATAGGTGGCTCGAGCTTTTTCCCATGCTTCAAGTGCGGCAAAACATTCAAACAAGAAAAATCTCGTCAACTTCACTACAACCTTTGTAAGCTTGAAAAAAAGTTTGAATGCGACCAGTGTGGCGAAAAATTCGTCCGCGATTTTCATTTGGCCAAACATAAGGAATGGAAGCACAACCATCAAAATTGTCCCTACTGTTCAAAGACGTTCACTTCGCAAGCTTCACTAAACCAGCATGTTTTGCATATACACAAGAAAGCAGTCAGTTTCAAATGTCAGTTTTGCTCATCTGTGTTTGAAACCAAAGCTCACATGAAAGTTCATAGTCGCATTCACACCGGCGAGAAGCCATACAAGTGTACTCTCTGTGAGCGCTCTTTCATCTCAAGGAATCTCTATGAAAAACATGTTGCCAGCCGACACTCTTCTAAGACCGTTTCTCCAGCAGGCATTACACACAAATCTAAAAAGCAGAACTCGTCGGAATTGGCTGCTGAGGGTAAGGGCTCTGATTCAAATTCAAGTTCTGAGTCCTCTGATTCAAGTTCTTCTGATGAAGAGTCTGGAAGTAGCCCCAGAAAACGCGCCAGTGATGCCGTACTCGACAGCAGTAAATTAACGGCCTCGGATCTTGAAACTTCGCTGAGTGAATCAGATGAGCCCTCTGTCAGCCCACCAAAATCAGTCAAGCGCTCTAGAAACGGATCCGAAAATAATGCTTCAACTCCAAAAAGAACAGTTACTTTGAATTCTAAAAGAAATTTGGCTACTAGAGCTTCAGATCCATCACCGACCAAGAGAGAACAGATGCCTCAGTCCTCTAAAGCCAATCCCTCTCCTGACGGGAAAAGCGGTTCTTCAAGTACCATTGCCAGTAACAGTAACCAACAACAGTCACTGATCGCCTCAGTAGAGGAGCAGCGCCAAGTTCGGCAAGACACCATCCCAGTGCTGGAGCCTGTGCTGAGAAGTGACATGGTTTCTACTGTGGAGTCGAGTATCGGGTCAAGCAGATGTAAACCTTGCGGCAAAGTATTTACGGGACCTGGTGGTAAACTCTTACATTTGTACCTGTTCCATCCAGCCATCGTAATCAGTCAAGGTCTTTACCAGTGCGGATTTTGCTCGTATATTTTCTCCAACGCAGAAGATGTCACTGAACATCACCTCCAAAAACATCAAAGACATCAACTACCTGACGGCATGTTCAAGTGTCTTTGTGGTCTCCGCTTCAGAGAAGACGGTGCCTTTTATTTTCATCTATATTATGCTCATAAAGCTCAAAAAGCTTTGGTTAGGAAAGCGGAAATTATTTGCCGCGTTTGCGACTCTCAACCCAAGCTGAACAAAATAGTTGATCTTGTAGTCCATCTCAGTGACAGACACGCAATGTTTGATCATGTGCGTATGGAACAATCTTTTGTTTGCAACTTTTGCTATAAGAGCTTTGATTCATGGACAGTTTTAAGTTTGCATTTCTTCATGGTACACAACGCAACCAAGAGTCAAAATTTGAGCTATGACTGCCCATACTGTGAAACTTCTTCGCCGTGGCACTCGCTAGAAGCTTTACAGTATCATCTGGATAATTTCCATGGCAGTCGTAGTAAACCTGCTGCAGAAACAGTTGACAATCACACTGAATCTACTGCTGCGCCGGCTGCAACTACGGCTGCTGCTGCTGTAGTGCAGCAACAGCCAACACCTGCTCCTCTTCCTAACAAACGAAATGCAAAAACACCAGCTTCTCAGAAAAGAAAACCAGCTGCTAATCAAGGCAAGACACCGGCGACTCAACCTGCAAAAAAGAGGAGAAAGAGAGCCTCTGCTGTTGATGAAGTCGAGGGAATCAGCAAGAACCACGGATGGTCAGGAGAGCCTGAAACGCTGTACTGCATTTGCCAGTGTCCGTATGATGAAGTCTCCGACATGATTGGCTGTGACAACCCAGATTGCAAGTACCAGTGGTTTCATTTTGAGTGCGTCAGCATAATGGCTGCCCCAGAAGGCAATTGGTATTGCAGCGACTGCACCAACTCGCTTAAGGAAAAGAAAAAGCAAGGAGCCAAAGCTCTGCAGCCTGAACCCAAACGCACTGTTAACTCTGATCTCTATGAATATTATGCAAACTTAAACAGTGATGCTGAGCCCAGCTCGACCGGCAGTAGCTCGGCTTTTTGGGGAACTTCTTCCAAGCCTCCAACCCTGGGCCTGCCTGGGTCCGGCGATCGGCCTCCCAAGCAGCGCACTCACTCGTCCAGCTCCTCATCAAGCAACAGTTCGTCAAGTTCATCGTCATCATCAAGTTCGAGCTCTTCCTCGTCAAGTGGTGACTCATCCAGTGCCAGCGATAATGAGTGAGAGCACTTGCGGTCACTCTCTCTCTTTCTAACTTAGAACTCGAATGATTACACTGTTTTTATATCAAGAGGAGCCTACATTTGGCTCAACTTCATGAGAAGATGTGCTGATGATGCAAACTTATTGTGAATTGTTGTGCGTAAATTGACTGTGAGGAAGTTTATTCAATTAACATCGAGTGAGAAATATCTTTGCTTCAGTTATTAACTCAGAACAACTAGTTGGTATGTGTTTAAGTTGTGAATAAATTGTTATTAAAAAACAAACTACTCTTAATATTGTAAATAAATTAATACGAAGGAAACTAATGTATGAATATTTAAGTACTGTAGTCAGTACTGATATGTTCTTCGATTGCTTAGCGTGAATATCTGGCGTGTTATCAGTTTTAAAAGTTGTGTAATCTTTATGACGTTGAAGATATTCATTAATAATGTTAATGTGTTTCCTCAATGTCAAATTTCCTCTATGAGATGAACTTGAGAAAAAATTTGGATGTTGTAACCGGAACAGACTTGCATCAGTGTTTATTTATAGATTATAATCTGCGGCTTAGATTGATCAAATGCATTCAATAATACTTCCATTCATATTGTTCAGTTATAATATTTTTTTTTTCAATTAAATTAACATAAATTATTTGTGGAAGAAACTAAGTCTTTATAAATAGTTTGCTCTGATATGCACTAAATGATTTATCGTGAAGTGTAATCACATCCGCTTCTGCCTTGCACTGGTGAGCTTGTCAAAATTTCCTAGTTTTCTCCATAATACTTCGGTTTCTTATTTCAAATTTTTAACTCTCACTCTCTCTGTAATTACTCTCTCTCTCTGTATTATTGAGCGAATAATCTTTCAATTGAGATAATGAAGCAATGCAAATACACATCCAAAGATGTGAACATTATAAATTCTTTTCCATAGTACTTGTGGAACTTGCTTGTTAACCTTACCGTACAATCTGCAACAAAAACTGTTCTCGCATCGCGCTACACTAGGCTTGGTATTTCATTCATTGTTTGAAGCTACCCGAACCTTTTTTATGCTTGTTTTGAGGGTATGTTGCTGTCCCCGAGTGTATCTGTGATACCTGAGGTGACGGTTACTTTTCTGGGCTTAGTGATCCCACTGGTAGATTTCTCCATTATAAAGCCTCTTCAAGTTAATTTGTGCCGCGTGACTCGTGACGGCCAAAGACTACAAGTTGATACGATATTCGATTTCCTTGGCCAAGAGATATACCGTAATCCAGTCATTTTCCTGGAAATTTTGGGAATTGGAGTTTCGATGTGGTGATTGCTTGATGATTGCAATTGTCATTTATTGAATGATTTAAAATCTTCAGTCTTTGTAAACTAAGGTCTATTGCTCGGCTGAAAACTGGCAAAAAACTGTAGACATTGTCTACTCAAATGTAGGTATTTGACTTGTAGGTGGTAATTTATTCTATTTTAGTGCTAGCGGATTTAGAACTTCTCGAATAAGTGCTTTGAAGTTTTGTAAAAACTACATGTGTTTGGCGTGTAGATAATTTGCAGGAAAATTGTGACTCCAGTACAAATAATATTATTCGTAAGAGTAATTCCCGCTTTGATTGAAGTCTGCCTTGGATGCAGTGAACTCCTCACATGTTGCGGCAGTGTTTCTCATGTGTTTAACATTCATAAAACGTGTAGATCTTGTTACAATCTCGTAGTCGAGCCGACAAGTTTTGCACTTCGCGGGCTTTGATCTCGGCTGTTAACAGGTACGTTTGGTTTGCCGGCAAACTACTACCTGAGTTTCTTGCCCAATTGATTGAATAATATTTAGGTTAGAGGTAGTTCTTGCTCCAATAAATATTTACCTGCGATATATTGTTCTACGCTTGGCACGAAATTAATCAGACAAAAATTCTTATGGCTGTGCATATTTGAGTCATGAATCTTTGTCAAAATGATCTTATTATACTCCTTATCAAATTTGCATCCGTAAACCTTGAAGAAAAATGCTGGGAAACTTGAATGTTGGAGTGAGGCATATATTATACACTGTCCTTAAAATGGCTTGCTCGCAGTCAATTTATCTAAAGTTCATCTTACAACAGACATGAAAGTCTACGAGTTGAATCGTAACTCATTTATCACTTGTAAGATCATGAGGTGTGAGTTGGGGAGCAATGAGTGTGCGTGCACATTAAATATTTAATGGCGTAGTGAAAGATCTTAGAATATAAGTGGTGCTGGTCGTATGATTTTGTTAGAGTGTAGCTAGTTGATGGCCTCGGTTGTTGAATATCTGAGGTGTGCACCAGACAGTGGAGACAGTTCGCAAGTCTGAGAGATTGTATTCTGTCGATGAATTAGAATAGAGACGATATGTAAAGGACGTTTAAATGAATGGCCAATTTTATGAAAGTAGAAAATTAATTGTGTGCACTTCTGGGCTAAAGTTTTGTTTCCTGTAATGTTCGTGGTAATTCGCTGTGATCAAAAATGCAAGTTCGGCTGAAAGTAATGCTCATCATGTTAAAATTTCGATAGTTAAAACTCATCAGACGACGTGTTGTCCGACGTTTGATGAGTCGTAACTATCATTGTACTGTTCACTAACGAATGTATAACTGCATAGATTCTTTCTTAGAATGCGACACTAATTTCTCGAACCCCATGTGTGTTTAGTTACTCGGGAATACGCAGCATATTATTAAAATTTTTAGGTACCTGTTGCGCTTTAGGTGAGTGACGAAAAAGAAATGACAGGAGTCGTCTTTATAGATTATTTACATATTCATTTCATTGAGTCAACCTCACAACAAATTATAATAATACTTGACCAAGATTTGATAACTGGAAACTTTGAATATCGAGTATTGATGCGTAAAAATTTCACTGTCGTGTCATTTCACACCACGATTTAATTGTGGTGTGTTAGGAGAACCTAAGGTGCGTACGTAAGGGGCTTATTGACACTGCAATGGCCTTTAATTGTTCTTATAAACGTCCTTGTAATTCCTGTAAAAATAGTTATGCCTGATGTGGTTTGTTGCGGTTGTTTAGATACCCGTAGCATACGTACATCCTGCACAGCTTGCCCGTGTTCTGGAGACATTGCTGTATTCCTGTGAACGCTATTTTTGTTCATTTTACTATTGCAATGTACACATTATACATACTGTACAGTACAGGCTCCATTATATTGAGGGGCAATGCCTGTAGTTACCTTCGTTGTTCTTGGGTCATATTTTGTTTTCTGTTTTCTAAGGACAAATAAAATATGCTGAAAGTATTTTCGTATTTTCTTCATTCCTTAACTAACAAATATCGACGAATCCTTTTGGTTATCATTAGTTCATTAATAATTATTTATTGATGCAACGACTTCATATTGTAAGAACACGAGCACTTCGAAACGAGATGAGTCGATGCACGTGGTACAAAAGCTAATTTATACAGTAAACTTTGTGATTGAGGTGGTTCGCCTGCGTCATTCGAGTTTCTTGAACGGAAGTGTAAATCTAACATTTCAGTTTTGAGAATGTGCCGGAGTTGTTCAAGAACACGGAATAATTTTCGAAAGTTATTCGAAAGCGGCAGCGGTTGCTACAAGTGTTATTAAATATGACTGCTGAGACAAAAATTCGACACGTTCGAGATTAATTTTTGTTATTAATGGCATTTCGGACTCGATCAACTCTTATTTACAGCCCAGTTCTACACGCCCATCTCGTCTTCTGTATGTGTCGCCCAACGTAGCCCGTGGTATCCGGCTGCGGGTGTCGATCAGTGGAGTCAAGTTATTCTTTTTCACTTGTTGGTGTTTATTAATTTTTAAACTGAACTATATTGAAGCGGTCAAGACTATACCTTGCAAGTGATGGGGAAATTAACAGCTTTCAGTGTGAATTATTCCCGGCTACTTATAGTAAACGTCGTGTCATCTATACTGGTTATTAGCTCGATCCAGTGTTTTCATCCCGAGAAATTCAAGATTATTTAACTGATGAAATTCTGGTTGAATATGTTCTCAAGATCTTGAATAAACTCAAAACTAGGCACACATTTTCACTTTCTGATGCCGGCGCTCAGATATCTTACAAAAATTCGTTCACTTCTTTAGCGGGAATCCCTTAAGGGGGAGGTATACCCTCCAGAAAAACTTTTTTGTTTATGGACGGATTACTCTGAAACTTGGTACACTTATGTAAAACAGAATTCTAAGACATTTTTGTTCGTGTGTCTTTTTCGAAAAAATTGATAGAAAACGTGAAATTCATAAAAAACGGACAAATAATGGGGTACTGTAGAAATCTATCTCCTCCTAGGGTTTTAAAGCTACAGCGATGAGACATATACCATTCTATTCGTAAAGACCATATCAATGCAGTAACACGGCCCGATTTTTGATTTTTGCTTAAATTTTTGTTTTACAAGCATTTTTCAATTTTTTCTCATTTCCCCCCCCCCCTTCCCCCCCATTTTGAATCCAAACTAGGCCCAAATCTAAAAAAGGGCCGCGTTACTGCATAGGTATGGTCTTTACGAATAGAATGGTATATGTCTCATTGCTGTAGCTCCAAAACTCTAGGAGGAGATAGGTTTTCCGTGACAAAAAGTTGAACTTTTCAGGACGGCGCGACAAAGTTCCGCGCGCCTTGAAATAGTCACTAAATGTAGCATAGCTACCAAAATACAGGCTTCTGTAGCCTAATTCCACTCAAGGATGCTAGGAGCGACTTGCAGAACACCACTCTGCACAAAGCAAAGAGGGTGACTGCAGCTTGATGCCTGATACACCAATATTTTTAGTCTTAAGCGAGTGAATTAAGTCCTATCTATTTTCTGAAGGAAATCCACCCCCGCCCCCATTTAGAGCCCAGCTGTGTGCGTTAAAATTCACTCACAGCTATTGCAATAGTATCGTTGAAAAGCTCAGAATGTCAGCTTTAAGATGAGACTAAGCATGTAACTGCAGCACAACTCAAGTAGAAACTATATTCAAAGATTTCAGCAGCTAATTACTTTATATCTAATTAGTTAAAGAACTCGCCCACCCGCTTCCCTTTAAAGAGACGTCACGAACGTAAATATTTACGTGCAGAGATGGCAGTGGTACCATTGGAAAGAGCAGAATTTCAGCTTTAAGATGAGATTAAAACCCAAAAATGCCAAATCTGAAAATTTTAGGGTATACCTCCACCTTAAGCAGGCAGCGAAATGCTGTCTCTGACGCGCTCTAGGTTGCCCAAAAAATGTGTTTTATTTTCTTCATCAAAATTTGCTGTGTCTGAAAATATTTTGCTGCGGTTGCAGCTTTCATCCAATTACGACGTCAATTTAATTTATGAAATCTGTTTTCTTTTTATTTCGTGGAGTATGTTCAATTTTTTCACGGTTCGGAAATATTTTCAGCCTGACTTGCGTTCATTAGTGCCGCACAGATTATTAACTCAGTGCTTGAAGAAACGATGGATATTGATTCCTAGCATCAATTGTATTGACCTTATTAAATTCAAATTTCGAAGTAAAGTTTTCGTTCTCCGTCAAATAAACTATAGCAGGTGTAGAAATGATGGATTGTTCTTTCACAAGAAGTCAAATCAAGAAGTTCTTTCACAAGAAGTCACTGGTTAGGCGACAAATAAAGTGTGACAAAAATAAAAAGTGTGACAAAAATGAGTGGAAGCGACCTGTAACGTGTAAGCTGTAGTTGCGTGTACAAACATGTTTCATTAAACGCTATGTGTGGACAATATGTGTGTGAACGGCGCGTGTAGATCACACCTGTAGGCCACGCGTGTAAAGGATGCATGAGACAGATATTTATGAGTTCACGAGATTTTTTCATTTTCGTTGACTTACATTAATGCCAAAACGTAATTACCTCCTGAATAGTTAAAAACTTTGCACAATAATACGATTTGCGAAATATTTGGATACGATTCGGACAAACTGGCGAGACTTAGTGAGGCGTTTTCGAACATAGCCTTCTTAGTAATAAGTGACAAATTTATGAAATATTCATAATATGTATATCCTGAATGTGAGTAATATTCGGTATTGAATTAATATTAGCAGTTCAATGAACGGTCTTCAAGATTGTTTGAACAGAATTAAACTACAGACAAAGACTGCTCATAATGAACGACGCCCACTCACGCCTGTAGTCTGGTCAGTGTCTGCATCCGAATTAAGAGGAATTAAGAGAATTAAGTGGAAGATATTCATTTGTGATTTGGTGCCACAAATACGAATTTCAGAAACGGCTTAATTAGAGAATTTGGCTCAGCAAACTTTTGAAGTTTAACCTCGTACGAATCCAGCACAGCTCGCGGAAGACATCAGCTCGAAAAATGTTGGACAACTTCTCGATCATTGTTTATTCTTATTATTTTTATATATATATTTTGGCCATTCAATTTTGCCGGTTTGTTATGTTACAATCTATTTGCATGTTTTTACATTGCGTTTTGCGCCTCATATCTCACATTAAATGGCTTATAACTATGCTCATTATTATTATATTTTGTGGTATTGTTTTTGGTTTTAAATTCCAGGTTAACTTGCGATTTAAGCAAACAAAATAACAAATGATTTTAATACTTTTTTAAATATAATACGGTACGAGTGCGGCTTAGCTGCTTGTTGTTTGCTGCAAATAGCTGCAACTGACACCAATTACGGTCTCAAAACAAGAAAATATACGTTTTAATGCCGTAAGGCTCCCAGCAACCTAACAAACAATTAACTCGTTTACTGTTGTTGCATATTAAAGTGGAAAGTGATCCCAAGGTTAGCGACTTTATTCCTTTGAAATACCCTTTAGTGATCTCAAACTCATTTACTGCTGCTGTAAATTAGCATTGATATCTCAATATCATAACTATTAGTAATATCACAATAAATTTTCAAAAGCTCCAGATGTTTGAACTGCTATTTAAATGATAAATTTATTTCAGTCTCAGTTATCTTCCACTTCTGCAAGTGTCAGCACTGCTTAAATAATTACCTTAATATCTCTCGAACTGTTTCAGTTGTCTGAACAGTTCTTTAACTACCAAATTCATCTTAATAACTCTGCAATTGCTGCTGTCGCAATTCAAAATGGAACAAAAGCAAGCCTGAGACCGAGTTCTCGAGTGCCGTCGCGCAATTTATTCGCTCGGTCTCGACACGCTGGCACGTCTCTTGCAATTCACTTCATTTCCGTCTAGATGAGTCGGCCTAGACTCTTTTGTCGCTCTGCTGCACTAAATTAAGTCGGGAATTTCTTGTTGATGAACGAGATAACTTAATGCGTTTTCCTCGCCTGTGTCGTAATTTGTGATAAGGTATATAAGTGTGTGAAAAATGCGTCAGCATCAAAGAAGATTATATTGATGCAACACTAATGAACTCAGAACCCAGGCGACAACTTAAAAAAAAGTCCTTCATAAATGTTTGCAGAGTAGGGAGGATGATTATTAGGCAACATAAATTACGTGCCAGCATGAAAAAAAAAACACCAGAACAGGAAAAATATTATTGGAAGCGAGGCTTTCGTAACAAAAAAAGAAAAGAATTAAAATGAAGTGCAAGAACTGTATCGACGAGGTTTTTCAGGAGGCCTATATTTTTATTAGCATCCGATTTTAAATATGACATTGGAAGGGAGCTTGCGACGATTTGATTGTCGGTAGAGGATTTGTTCAACCATTTTTTTTGTCATCGGATGATTTCCTTGCGAATAAGGTTATTAAACTTGCTATTAAAAATCAGCGCTTGTATGATTCCAAGTTTCCTGCGATAACTTACGATACTTTTTTTGCAGAATTGAAGTTGTGGTTGGTTTATGAATGTTTTACTCCAACCATTAGCACGCAGTGGCTCCGGTATGAGTATATTATGTAGTGGACCATCAGTGTAGTGGGAATTGTCCAGATAGTATTATTTTTCTATAGCCGTTAATACTTTTTGACACTCTCCCGGTCACTCAAACATGTTGCTACTTGGAAAATAATAATGTGGAAAGCATATTTAATTTCTATTCATATATGTATTTGACAGTTATTAAATCCGAATCCAAGTTTAAATATTCGGCCTGCGATCTAATTGTCCTCGGTACGTGAAAAAATTAGTATAAACCGCCAAATTAAGGAACAACGAGACGTAGATCTACCGAAATTAATATTTTAATTTCTAAATAATTGCCGGGAAAAAGCGCGAACTTGGCTCACGCAAACAGGTTCATAATTCTTGGTTTCCATATATCCACATTTTAGTGAAGGTAACTCTTGGTAGCGGGCC